CCTTCCTTCCTTCCTTCCTTCCTTCCTTCCTTCCTTCCTTCCTCCCTCCCTTCCTTCCTTCCTTCCTTCCTATCTTCCTCTTTCTCTTGACTTGGGATTTAAAAAAACCACAATGAGATTTAAAACAATGCAAGTAGATAAGTAGATTAAATAATGGGAGCAGAACATCATTTAACCTCCTGTATACTGCGCTCAATAGCAAAGCAATTGATGGTCTCTTTCTCTCTGTCTCTGTCTCTCTCATACACACAGAGAGACAGAGACAGACATCAATTTCTTTTCAGCAAAGCATCTTGTAATAATTTTAAAAGGTGGAGCCTTTTAATTAAAAAAATATGTTTCTAAAGCCTTCCTGCAAAGTAATCCTGTATCCACTGCCAGGTAGATCTACTCACAATCTGTTTTCTACTTACCATCATAGCCATGCATTGAATCTTGAAGTTTTGTTAGACTGACAATGCATTTCTCCCCCAAGGTTACAATGTAAGCATTGCCTTTTACATTACAAGCATACACAAAAGGGGTTGTCTTTGCATTGTGATATTTTGCCACACAGATTGCTTCCTTGCCCCCTACCAGTTTTGGGGAATGTTAGTTTTCTATACGTCCCAAACCAACACACATCGCCATTGCAGGAAGGCTACGACCTACCAGTCATAGTTCATCATTAGGTGCCCCATAACCATAAAGTGACATAGCCACATGTGTCTAGCAAACTGAACTATGCATAGCCTGATGTTGTGATATGGATGCAAAATGAGGCCATCCCACCTCATTTTCTCTGCATTGGGCCCATTTAGATGCGAGATGTGTCAACAATTGGGAGGAAAAAACCCAGCACCCTGGAATTCCACAACACTCCCCAAAGTACATTTTATAACAATTTTAATACAAGGCTTTTACCAAGAGAGAGAGAAAAAAACATTCAAGACGTGATGGTGTTAGTAATGAAAGAAATTTCAGAGCTGATAGAACTTGAGCAATGCATGTCCAAAGCGATCATGTATCTTGTTACCAAACCAAAGCTGTTTTCTTTCCCTTTTCCAACAAGTTACTGGAGTATCCCTCAGAGGCCATGTCAGAAGCAGCTAATGAAAAGAGGAAGTGTAACACGCCATTGCATTTTCTTCTTTTAAATAAGTATGCCTGATTTTTGAAAGGGCTTACACTCAACTCTCTCTTGTTTTCATTACTGAGTTCAGCTCTTGTGAAATTTGATTGCTTCTGGAGCAGTAAGTTTGCCCCAGCGAATGTCCCCAATATATTGAAAGAAATCAGCCAGTTCCCAGTGAATGGTGGACAGTCCCAAATTCAGAGAGATATCAGGGAATTCTATTAATAAAAACTTCCTCAAATCAAACTGGACTCCTGATGATTGCCTAATGATGCCAGTAAATATAATATTCTTCGAAAAAATATACAAGGAGCGTGTCATTGCTTTCTATCTCTCTGCTTTCCCCCCAAATTTCCAAGCTTAGTGCATAATTCTGGATTTTTTTGGTGTATTTTTCCCATCCAAGCACTAATTATTTTCACTTGTTACAGCAATGAAAACTGACTGTTACCAAATATGTACATTAAAGACTGACATGGTTCTATTGGTTCATGATAGACAAATTGAAGTCCATTGTGAAACAATGGTTTCGCTGGGATGGATTTTATATAATGCTGTTCAGCATTTACCTGAAGATATCAGAAAGATGGGTTAAATGCCTAGGAATTTGAGGGCATTCACTGAATGAAACAATGTTTTCATAGGAAATCACCATGGGTGAATAGGTGACAATAGAAATTCAATAACTAAATAAAGAATGTCCACCTTTGATGAATGCAATCTGTACTGCAGAAAGAAATATGGAAGATGTGCAAAACATTTGTGAACGTGGAAGCATCTTCATTAGCAAGTTGCAAGATATTTATTTAATGCCTGATTCTGATTAAAGGTTGTTAATTACTTGGAGGTAGCCCATTTTCTGAGGACCTGGAAGCCCAGAGCAACTTCCTGCCTTTAGGTAACTAACAAGGATCCATGGGTGCTAATTCATGCACCAGCTGCTTCCTTTCTGCTACACATTGTCTATATTTTTCAAGAGATCTAAACCAATCATTTTAAGCTTCTGAGCCATGCTACCTCATTAAATTGTGGGAACTCAACTCTGGTGGAGTATCTCATAGGAATCTGCTGAGAATCTTGCCATCAGAGACCACTGATGTTGGGCAGGACAAGTAGCCAACTTTGAACATGGTGACAGCTTTTCACCACCCTCAGAAATGCACGTTTGTACATGCTCATCTCTCCTTCCATTCCTTCATTTTGCTGCATCTTAAGGACCATTCTGCTCAAAATTTCTTTTTCTTTTTTTAAAAAGGAAAGAAGCAAGAGTTCCTTTCTCATAGATGTGTTTATTAGCATTATTAGTGCTTAAGATGTGCACATCACCTTAACTTCTGGTTGATTTTTGACAAGTTTAATCAAGCATTTCATCTGATAATGGCTGCCTTTGGAGGTTAATACAATGCGGCTCACCTCCATTTCTTTCTTCCCTTTCTCTCCTCCAATAAAGTAAAATAAAGGTGAGAGAGAGAGAGAGAGAGAGAGAGAGAGAAGAGGATCCCTGTGGGATAATCACGGCAGTTCCTATATTCCTCACTCATCACCGAATGCCTTGTCCCACATTGAACCACCTTTATTGAAAAGTTACATCGATTCAATATATAGTAATACAGGCAAAAATAATTACAGCTTTGCGAGTGGTGTAAGACCTTAATCCGAAGCTCACAAACATTCAATAAAAAGTAGTGCAGACTGGGAAATAGGCTTTTGACAGCAGAGCCCCAAAGGAGGTGGGAGGTGGGAGGGAACAGCCTCCGAGAACAAAAGCCAAGCTACAAAAATCCACCAAGTCACCTTCTTCTATACCAGGAAAGATTTTGACATTTTAGAAATCAATTAATATTCCTTCAATTATTTTATAATCGAAGAAGCTGTGTATTAGAAAGGGATTTATAGCAGCGAAGCAAGCATCGAGCTGGCCCAAAGCAATTGCTATCCTTCCTGTTCTTTCATCAAAAATATCCTTTTTGGTTTTAATCACTCATACCTCCTTGATGGACATTTATTTTCTTATTGTTTCTCGTTCCATTGGAGGAAAGCAAATTTCCCCTAAACCTTTTCATGGAGGAACTCTAAAAAATCATGTTGCCAATTTCCCTGACCACCAATTTGAGAAGATTAAAAGGCCCCTTTGGATTGAACGAAAGATAAAGTTGAGAAAACAAGGCCTATTTCATATGGAGAGCCAGCTTGGTCTAGTGGTTAAGGCACCAGACTTGAAAGTTGGAGACTGTGAGTTCAAGTTCTGCCTTAGCCATGAAAGCCAACTGGGTGACTTTGGGCAAGCTAATCTCTCTCAGCCCAACCTAGCTCACAGGGTTGTTATTGTGAAGGAGTAACATGTGTTAGATATGTTGGCCACCTTGAGTTATTTGTATAATAATACAGATGGGAAATAAATAAATAAAAATTAAATTTTCCCATGACCAAGAGTTGAAGCCCAATATTGCTTATGCTTTGGAGAGATTCAAATTCATTCTGGTCAACTTGTGTTACAAATCTGAAGTTTGGATTTTCAGTTACAAGGCTGTTTCCCTATCTGTCCCCTCCTCCTTTTCAATTTATTTTCTTTTGGCCATTTTGTTTTGGGGGTATTTTGTGGATTTTTATTCCTCCTCTCACCCTGGCATGCATACACTAATTGTATATGATTGTATTATAAATTATAAATTTGAGAAATAAAAAAAAGGATGACTATTAATTACTAACCTCCCCCTATGATTACCAAAAACTAATAAAAACGATGAAGGCTAGAGCAAGAGAATAAATGTCATTTGTCTGCCAGCATATGTATTAAAAAAATGTCTGAAGAAGGCTAATGTTTCATTTAGTATTTAGCATCCAAGTTATTTAAGACAGAATAGAACAAAATCAGAAAAATAAATTGTCAGAATGGGAAATAAACTTTGCAGTCTTATATTTGTTTACTTAATTGGGAGTAAATCCCTCTAAATTCCACAGGGTTTCCTTTTGAGTAGACAAGTATAGGATTACATCGTAAACATTAGAGGCTGTTGAAAACTTTGTAACTTAGATGTAAAATTAAGTAGGGGTGCACTGAAAATTCCCCAGATGAAAAGCATGCGAGAGCATTTTCAGCATTGGAATGATAGGAAAATGAATGTCAAAATATGTTAGGATTTATAAGGAAGAAGTAAGGGTGTGTGGATGTGGATGTTTTCCCCTGTATTTATAAAAGAATAACTGGAGAGTGGACAGCTGTAAATCAGATATAAGTACTTTGCTAGCTTTTTTAAAAAAACTCTGAGTGTAGGTTTTTGTTTACATAGATATGCATTTACATTTTTCATTATTGTTTAAATGTTACCATGAGCTGCCCAGAGATGTTTGAAATGGGTGGCCATATAAACTTTTTAAATACATAAATAAAATGAAAAATGTGAAAATTTAACATTTAAAGGCCCAATCTGTTCGGGAACAGAGGTACAAATAACTGAGGCTGTATCTAGTTTCATCTGCTTGTGTCCGTGGTCCTTAGTTTTATTCATCCCTGTTACTTCTAATGCTTTTATGGTTTTTAATGGTTTTAGACTTTTGCTTTCATTGTGTTATAAACTGCCCAGTGTCACTTTGAGAATGATTTAATCAATTTAATAAATAAATAAACAAACAAACAAATAAATAAATAAACCAGCTTCCATGGGAAGGTAAAAAATCCCAAAATGGCAGTTAGAACCATGCCGCTGAAGCCCCGCCTATCTTTATGATATATGTGATGAGAAGGTGGGACTTCGATGGTACGATTCTGTCTGTCATCTTTTTTGAAACTCTACCCCCTCTGCCCCATTTGCTGACCCCTGCGTTATTTCTGCAAGTTTCTGTTTTGAAAATGTAAATATTGTCTGTCTGTCTGTTTGTTTTCCAGCCATGACTGGTCTTGTTGTACCTCCAATGTGAAGAGAAGAGAAGGCATTGCTGGGATTTCTTCCCTGCCTCCCCCGGTCCTTTTTTTTTTTTCTACAGCACAAAACTACTTATTTGTTACGGACCTTAAAAAAAAAAAAAAAAGCTCTAGAAGCTCAATCGATGGGGGAAGCCATGTGCCAGAAGGAACGGAAATTTTACAGCGTTACAAAGAGGCTGTTGCAAGTTGAAGACATCAATACCCGAGAACATTTTTTTTTTAAAGAAAAATAGGAATTGGCCAAGATCCAGATGTATGCAGGTTATGGGATTGTATATGGAGCACAAGCTTTTCTTTTCCTTTTGTTCTCTTTCCTTGTGGACTCAAAACCTTCCTAATGTTTATAGAATATAAAAAGAAGGAACAGGTTGGCCAACCATTCGAGCTTGATATTTTGGATACTCTTTGTTTTTCTTTGTAGGGAAAAAAAAGTCGAAGTTTCTATTTTCTATGGAGCCTTTCAGATACCAATTTAGTTTATGCAGAAAAAAAAAAAGAAATCTCAAAACAGGGTACCAGCATGAGGGACTTTCCTATAAAACCGATATGCTGATATGAGTGGTGGAATGTTGGACGTGTGTATGTGTATTGACTTATAGTTTAATCTCTTTTCAAATGAAAAAAATGTAAGATGTTTTACAATTATTTAAATAAATAAACTTGTAAGTTATTGTATGTAGAGGTAGACATTGAAAACTTTTGGGGGCAGCTTCTTTTTTTCTCCTATTGTACAATGAAAATTGGCAAAAACTCAGCAACCATTTCTTAACGCTAACAATCTCTGTTCAGTTCTCTCCTGCTCTTGATGGAACCACTTACAGAAATATCTCAAAATTCTTCACCAAGGACTCATCCACAATCTTTTTTATACACACAATGCTATATATATATATACATATATAAATATATACATATATCTCTCTATATATTAAAATATAGGACCGTCGTTAATGTATGAATATTATACATTTTCTCATGTCTTGATTAAGGTTTCAGGTTCTGGTGTGATTTGTTTACTTTCATACCTCTCAGTAACTACGTGGCATGTGTGAAGTCTCGCATCAAATCCTCTTCATTTTTCAGGTTGCAATTTGAGCAAGAGGGAACCGTGAGGCCATTTTTTTTTATCCTCCCCCCCCCCCCCAGTTTGTTCCTTTTCAGAAAATATTTTGTCTAATTTCTGAAGCAAAAATTCAGAAATTGTGTTGAAAAAAATAGCAAAAATTATGTTGTGTTGCAAAAAGAACTTTGGCACTTACCTAGGAGACATAATACTCTCCAGTGAATGTTGAGATGCTAACTTAACATTACAAATGAAGGCAAATTTATGTGTCCCAGGATAATGTTGCAGGATCCAATCTGGATTGGACACCGGGACCAGAGGTTTAAACTTTTGGACTTGTGCTGAAGCCCCCTCCTCAGAGAACTTATCCCTGTTGGAAAGGAAGTTCTCTCTTCTCTCTCCTTCTAACATTCTGGTAGAGAGAAGTCACCTGAGGATAGACATCAGCACGAGTCCGAAATCTCGGAGGACTAAACTTGTGGTCTTGGTGACTGACCCAGATTGGCTACCGTAACTTTACATTGGCAAATATGTTTTTCATTGGGGACAGTTATAACATTTATCTGGGATCATCCATGTTCATCTTGGAATATCAAACGTCATTGAGTTTCATTTGTACGCATAGAGGTGATGAGTTATCTGCATATTCTAAATACGGTGTAGGAGCAGAAATGCGGGAAAGCTTGCTGTCTGGAAAATCACTGGTTTCATGGGCTTAGTATGAAGTGAAGATTTCGTTCACTAAAGACATCTCCATTTTGATGGAGGGATAGTTTCTGGACATGCCAATAGTAGCATATGAGCAAAAGTCCCACCATTAGAATAAACGGGAAAACTTAATCTGCACAAGATTCCCATATGTGCCTGCTTCAGAGCTTCAGAACTTGTGTGGATCTAGGAATTGGGGCACTGTCTCTTGAAATTCTCAAAGCGTGTCTTGAATCCAAGATCCATCGCTCCCCCTTTTGATGTGTTGATTATTGATAAGCACTGTTTTATAAAACGTTTTAACTTTCCTAAAGCCTTCTCAATCATCTTTTGTTGCTGTCATTGTAACCATCTCTATCCAAGTCCCATAATGTTGATAATATGCCTATAAAATTTATAAATCACATTGTTTTTTTTACAATATACTATTTATATATGTACCTGTATTTTAAGGTGAAATTCAAATTTCTGTGCACCCAGTGAGGGTAACTGTGTTTTTTTTCCCAGGGGAATAAAAACATTAGTGTTTTCCCACAATGATTGTTGTTAAAGTTCATGGTCCCCCTTTTCACATACACAAAAAAGCCAAATTAATGCCAGGAAAGTGACTTCATAAGTGGATGTATATTTTAAGATATTGTGGTTGCAGGAATATTCTCTTTCTTCATTAAATTAGACAAATTAAACTCACTATCAGGAATCGAAAGCTGTGATACTTACCCTGTTATTATGCTCAATGTTTTAAAAATCAAAATACGAAAGAAAAGATTTTTTTTCTCCCCCTTTTTCTCAAAAAGAGGAAAAAAAGCAGGCAGGGAAAAGAATAGCATGCTGTCACCTATATTGGCTTCATTTTCACCATTACTGATATCAGCCCCTCACCTCCACCACTGCTACAGACAGTCCTTGACTTATGATCACAATTGAGCCCAAAATTTCTGTGGCTGAAACATTTGTTAAGTGAATTTTGCCCCATTCTGCAACCTTCCTTGCCAAAGGTGTTAAGTGAATCACTGCAGTTGTGAAGTTAGTAACAGGTGAACCTGGCTTCCCCATTAACTTTTCTTGTCAGAAGATTGCAAAAGGTGATTGCATGACCCCAGGACACTTGAATTGTCAAGCATTTGCCCAGCATCCAAATTTTGATCACATGATCATGGGGATGCTATAATGGTCATAAATGTGAAAATGGACATATCACTTTTTTCAGTATCGTCGTAACTGTGAATGGTCACTAAATAAACTGTTGTAAATTGAAAATGGGACGTGGTGGCTCAGTGGCTAAGACGCTGAGTTTGTCAATCAGGAAGGTCAGCAGTTCAGCGGTTCGAATCCCTAGTGCTGCATAATGGAGTGAGCTCCCATTATTTGTCCCAGCTTCTGCCAACCTAGCAGTTTGAAAGCACGTAAAAATGCAAGTAGAAAAATAGGGACCCCTTTGGTGGGAAGGTAATAGTGTTCCATGTGCCTTCAGTGTTTAGTCATGCCGGCCACATGACCATGGAAATGTCTTTGGGCAGCAATGGCTCTTTGGCTTTGTAACAGAGATGAGCACCACCCCCTAGAGCCAGAAACAATTAGCACACATGTGCAAGTGGAACCTTTACCTTTACCCAAGTTGAGAACTACTTGTATTTAATAATGCATTATTCATAAATATGGACCTGAATAGAATAGGGTTGTCCAGTTATGATTTGTTGGGATCAATTATATACTATGGATTGAACTAGTCAGCTATGTAACAGGTGCACACATCCACTATAGCCTATAACAGTTTTTCTGAACTGGGAATCTACAGATCTATGGAATTTTTTGAAATATCCTCCAAACAAAATTGTAGGGTTTCGCCAGGAAAAGAGAAGGGCAAAATGACCCCAATTGTATTTTAAGAATACAATTAATTTTATGTCTGAGCAGACATGCTGAATAATGAAATCATAAACTTGGAAAAGGTTAGTTAATGAATCCAACTCTGTAGCACTTTCCAACTTTCTAGTCTAATTAAGGTTTTAGGATATAATTCTATATTCCAAACTTTCAGATATGTGGATTTTAACTTGGAATGCTTGGTTGAAGTCATGTGGGAGTGGTTGCAGGCCATGAGAAATGATGTTTGTTGCAGCTGCCTTAAGCAGAAATATTTTGAAATAGCTGAATCGGTTCTCATCCTTTTAGCTAAGGTCATGCAGTGTGTGTGTGTGTGTGTGTGTGTGTGTGTGTGTGTGTGGTGTGGGGTGTATGTTTGTGTGTGCCCAATTAAAACAGAATGCTTCCTCTTTACCTGCTCACAGAAACAAATTTACATGCAAACACAGAAGCAGATGTTCTGAAGTTGAAGTTCCATGGGATCTAACTTCATCCAATCTATCAGACAAGATACTTGGCTTGGTTAGTAATCTTAGGTATTTTTTCAGTACAAATAATTCTCAATTTAGGACCACAATTGGGACTGGAACTTCCATCATTAAGCGAGGCAGTTGTCAAGTGAGTCAAGCCCATGAGTCAAGCGATAAATAGTGATCATCCAAATGTCCAAAATTTTTATCATGTGACCATAAAGACATAATGATGTTGTAAGTGTGAAGATGTTTTTCAGTACCATTGTAAATTTTGGTCACTAAATGAATGATTGTAAAGACTACCTGTACAGGAAGTAGCAGTGGGAATTCAATCCATGGATTGAATGTTAAATGCATTGCACCACCTATAAAAGGGGATATTGTAGTAACCGGGTTAAACATTTTGTGTTCCACAGCCAACATTTACTCCAAAGTAAATTTGTTTTCAGTTGAACTGCAGGTTCACTCTAGCCCAGTGAATCAGTCGAGCGACTTGCCAACCCACAATCTGTTGATGTAGGGGAAGCAATGATTTTAAGGCAAGATTCAAACACTCTTATATATCAGGGGAGGGGAGGGAAGAGGCCCAACAGTCCTTGTAAATAAACAGACAATTATTTTAATTTTTTTTGGTGGTAAAACATTTTTTTAATGGGGGAAACTATGTGAGATTTTTACCGGGAAAAAATATTTGTTCTTTGCCAGTTTCAATTATGGCTTTATTCCAAGTTTTCTAATCACCCCCAAAAGAGCGTGGGGGAAGCCCATGAAGATATTTCTGACTTTCAATGTTTACTTTTTAATTTTATTTTATTTTACACACAAGAAGGAGAATGGAAAAAGAAAAAGGAAAGGAAAATATATATACTGGAACATCTGTTAATGAAAATTATTCTTATATATGCATTGGTGTTGTATTATTGAATTAGTCATATTTAAGTCAGTTTCACATAACAATAAGGGTGGGGGGAAGGAAAACTAAACATACACACTGTCATATATAATCAAAATTGCTGATGAATCCTTTGAGATTTCCAATGATAAATTCCTTTTAAAACAAGAATGAGAGATAAAGTCACCTGAATTCATTCTCAGTTGGATGCTGGAGGTTTTTTGGCAGTCCCAGGCAGAGTCTTGCCTGGTTATCTAGGAACAATTTCAACCTGTTGGGCCTGAGGAAGTGGACATGGTCCTTGGGACTGTGAGTTCAGCCATCTGATCTCTAGATTCATGCCTTTTCTGTCCAACTAAAGCTGCCAAGGATTCTGTTGTGTGGGTGGATTCTAGTGGCGCTCAATTTTTTCTTGAGTGAGAACATTGTTCTTCCGCCTCTTCAAGAGCTCTTGCTGGATCCACCATACCGAATAACTTTGACCCAGCATCTAACTTCTCTTTTTGGGTGGGAAGGTAATTGAGAAGTTGGCCAACCAGCAGTTTCAGAGGATAACAGAAAACAGAATAACAGAGTTGAAAGGGATCTTGGAGGTCTTTTAGTCCAACCCTTTGCTCAAGTAGGAGACCCTATACCATTTCAGACAAATAGCTGACAAGTTTCTTTT